ACTCCTCCACCTTCTCAATAAAAAACACTTAGTCAAGACTGTTATAGACTAAAGTAGAATAGCATATAAAAAATGTTAGTTAGAAGAAACGATGACAACACAGACTAAACTAAGCTGAAAAATAAATAAAAAAACCAAGGAGACCAAAAAATGCAACCAAGAATAAATTTTCTGAAAAATAATAAGGGTTTTGACTGCTTTTCAAAAACATCAAAAATAGTAGCGAAAAAAAGAAGCAGACTTTTTTTTCTGTCAAGATACAATGTTTCCAGGATAATTCTGAGAATGTTTTATTTGTTTACCACTCACAAGCAGATTCCCTCCTTATTTTTTCGTTTTTTTTTTTTTCTTCTGTTGTGTTTTATTTTCATCTACTTAGCTGTTAAGCAATTACAAATTGCACAGATACAGTTCAGTTTATACTTTACTGATCTTCTCAGAACATTTGCACAGCTGAAGCAGCAGCTAAATTTTTGGCGAAATTTCAACAACAGCAACAGAAAAAATTGAAATTGAGCGCTGATCCTTAGCAGTGAGTATGTTGAACGCTGATAAATTGTACGGTAGTCTGCCGGAAGCTCAAATAAGTTTGCTCATTAGTTTGGAATTTGTATGATTCACAGTTATAAACAGAAAAAAGTGAATGAATGAACAAAAGCAGATACAACAATTGGATGTGATACTGCTGCTGACTGACTGTAATTTAAGACGATTGATAGTGAAGGGAAAAATTAGAACATCTTTTTTTTCCTACTTTTTCAAACTTTTTTTTTATTTTTTTTTTTTTTGTCATAGAACGGATGTTTCATCGTTTATTTGTTTCGTTCACTGATTAAAGCAGCTGTACCTTATTGCAAAGTCGGTGAACATTTTTTGTTTTTTTGAAAAAAAAAAGTGTTTTTTATTTTCTATTTATTTTCTGTGCATAAAATTTTCATTAAGCCTTAAAAAAATGTTCAACAACTGCGCAATACAAAACAGATATAAAAAACCGATGATACCTATTAAGAAATAAACCTTGCTTACAGTTTAAAAAAAAAAAACGCGAATAACAGCAGTCGTCGTCGAGAAAATAATCATAAAATTAAATATTTTTGTAGCAGTTTTTAGTCTTCATATCTGCACTAAAATAATTATGAAAAAAATTGAAAACACCTGTAAAACGTTGACTGTGACAGAGGAGACAAAAAAAGAATTACAAATAGATAAATATAGTATAATAGCAATAATAATTATTATTATGATAATAAAATTAACAATAATAATAATAATAACAGTAAAAACTAAGCCGACTTTTGTTGAAAATCGTTAAGATATAAGAATAGAAATAATAGCTAAGTTATTCCACAACTTTTTCATTGCAATATTTATAGCTCAACAACAACGCGGTAATTAGTTTTTCTTCAGCATCGAAATTAA